GGGGCGGAGGCGGGAGGGCTGTCAGTGGGTCCATCCATCTCTGCTGATGGCTGCTGAGGGCGGTAGGCTAGGGGAGGAGGGAGGGTGCCCCGGGCACTCCTGGGGAGCCTGGGTGCCTCTGGGGGGGGGGCGCCCTGAGGGTCACGGCCCTCTGGGGAGGAAACCTGGCGGAGGTCTGTATCTCCGTGTCCTCCTGAGCCTGGGAGACGGTTGGGCTGCGGGGTGTGAAGCGTGGGGTCGCTCTTTTGGGGGTGGCTCTCCGGCCTTTATGTGAATGGAGGGCGAAGGGGAGGAAGTTGGTTGCTTGGAAAAGTGGGTGGGAAGCGCAGTCTCCCTGCAGGACGGAGCCAGTCGGGGCTGGCTGGGCCCGAGCCCCCTGGCCCTCCGGGGGCCTCCCTGCTCCCCAGGAGGGAACGCGGGCAGGAGGGGATTCTGGAACCGGGTTGGGCGGAGTGGCTGCGCTGGGGAGCGGCTGGTTTCAGAGGTGATTAAGGTATTTGTTTGTACGGCTGGCTGCCGGGAGCTCAGGGAGCAAAGGGGCCCTCTGGCCCAGAGAAGAATCTGAGGCTGGGCCGGGAGCTCAGGAGGCAGAGGGAGGGTAGGCTCCTGGGTCTCACCGAGACCCTCCAAGCAGAAGGTGTGACCCCGAGAGGAAGGAGGCGGGGCTGGGAGGGAAGTGGGCAGAGTCCCTCCCGTGAGTGAGTGATTTTCAAGGGCCTGGCGTTTGGGTCTTGCTCTCTACCCTCAGACCGTGGAGCCTGGGAGGGGAGACGTGTGCACACACGATCCTAACCCACAGGTCTCAGAAGGCAGCCTCGCAGAGCAGGCTGGAGGGACCCGTGGCAGGGAGCGTCTCCAGGCAGAGCTGGGTCCGTTCCCCCTTCACCATCTTAAGGGGGGCGCCCGCTGACTGGCCGAATCTGGAGGTCAGACTCTTCTGAGTCACCCGCACCAAGTCTCCTGCTGGCTGGCAGGAGCCCGGTCCACCTGCCCCCATTCCCCACCCGAGTCAGTGCATTCTTGTCTCCCCAGTTGCCTAAGGTGACCAGACGAAATGGTTAAAAATCGGGACTGTCCCGCCAAAAGTGGGACGTCTGGTCACCTTACACTCGCCCTCCCGTTGGCCAGGGAGCGGGAGAAATGAGACCCATCAGGGCAGGAAGATGCGTTCCCTCTGGGGTTGGTAAGTTTCAAGGCAGCCTGTTCTGTGGATGGGGGAGGAGGGGCCACTCCTGTTTCCTTCCCTGGAAATTCCCCTGCTGGTGGGTCCTTGGAGGCCAGACTTGCAGGGTAAGGCCTGGCCCCGGGCGAAGGCAGAATGGAGCTAAGAGCCGGATGGATGGAGAGGAGTGGCCTGTGAGGGTCCCAGGGCTAAATGAGGCTCTGTGTGGTGGTGGGTTATACGGATGTGGCTGTTGTCAGGCTTGAACGAGTAGCACAGGCTCAGCATCCCTCCTCCCACCTCCCACCAGGCCTTAGGTTTTATTTGGGAAAGGCTCTCTTGGATCTGCCCTTTCCGCTCACCTTGGGTCTCGATCTTTCAACCGGACGAATGTGCCCTCAGCACATTGATGATCTGTGTTGTGTGCCAGGCTCAACGCTTAAAGCACAACCCCGGTTACGCCCCCATCCTGCAGCCAAAGGGCCTTCAGGCCCTCAGCGGCTCCCGCCTGCCTTAGAATGATGCTCCAGACCCCTTCCCTGTGGCCTTTCTCCTCGGACTTCCGCTAGCAGCTTAGCTCGGCGTGGCGGGCGTGGTGGAAGGCCTCCTTTCGGCCTTTTCGGACCCCTGGCCTGGAAGAGCTTCCTTCTCCGTGTTCCTGTAGTGCCTCTCTCTCCCCCAGAGGTGACATCCTTCGTGTGACACCTACCTTATTCTTCCCTGTGGAATTTTCTTGTACCTCTGTCTTACTTCTCCTGTTAGATTTTTAAAAATTTTTTTATGAGTTTATTTGATCCACACTGATCTCAAATGCTGCCTCCTATCAGATCTTTAAAGACCATCAAGTCGGGGACTGTGTTTGCTCCTCTTTGCACTTCCCAAAGCCCCTAGAACCGTGGTCGGCAAACTGCGAGCCACACGTGGCTCTTTGTCCCTGGAGTGTGGCTCTTCCACAAAATACCCCGTGCGGGCGCGCACGTACAGTGCGAATGAAACTTCGTGGCCCGTGTGCAGAAGCCGGTTTTTGGCTCTCCAAAGAAATTTCAGTCGTCGTACTGTTGATATTTGGCTCTGTTGACTAAGGAGTTTGCCGACCACTGGCCTAGAACAACCGGGCCTTGTCCCCTTGGTGTGTGGTCCGTGTTTGCAGCCTGGAGTCACTGACTGTCCTAAACCCGGACGGGAAGAGGCGTGTGGGAAGCAGGAGAAGCCCTTGAAGGTGTGCAGGTGCCGGGAGGCTGTCTGGGCGGCCATTCTCAGGGTGCGGTTCCACGTAAACACAGTGTGTGCTTTCTTTTATTGATTTTTTTACAGAGAGGAAGGGAGAGGGATAGAGAGTTAAAAACATTGACCAGCTGCCTCCTGCACACCCCCTACCAGGGATGTGTCCGCAACCAATGTACAAGCCCTTGACCAGAATCGAACCTGGGACCTTTCAGTCCTCGGACCACCGTTCTATCCACTGAGCCAAACCGGTTTCGGCAGTGTGTGCTTTATCTGCGATTACACACAGTTTCCGGCAAAAGATTATTTAAGTCACGACATAGGGGAAACCTGCTTTTACATTGGAAGCCAGGAGAAGTAAGTGCCAAGTTATTTGGGGGGGGGGGGGAAACACGATAGAAAAATTCACACAGAATGTTAATTTATTACGAGTGCATGGGCGGTCACTTCTTAATACACCTGGAACTAACATAATGTTGAATGTCAACTGTAATTGAAAAATAATTTAATTAAAAGAGAGTTAATTGAGCGATGAGGAGGTAGCCGAGAAGGCAAAGGTGTCTGCAATATCTTTAAGGGGCACGTAGGATATCTTAACGGTGGTTGGAAATGGATAATACCTTGATATGTCCGTTTCACTCAGTTTATGAGTTTTCTTTTGTCCTTCCACTTAATTTTGGAGAGACAATTTATATCGACAGAGATTTAGGATATTTTGTTTCCTTTTAGAAATTGAGGAACCAGGAATGGTGAAAATGTAAGGGTGTAACTCTACCCCATCTGTTTTACTCTCCTCCCCACCCAAAAAAAAAATGAGGAGAGGTTGTGGGGAGAATTGGATTGTGCCATCCCCCTGCCAGCCACTAGTGGTCACTGTCAGCCCAGGAAAGCTCGGTTGCTGTCTTTCTAGAGAGTTCCTGGGCTCATGGGGTTCGAGGAAGAGGCAGGGTTGCCTCCGGTATTGGCACACAGAATACCTTTCAGTGCGGAGCTCTGCGTTTCATAGAATTCCGGGATTTGTAACTTACGTCTCAGAGCGTTTTCATCTAATGTTCTCCAAGTTCAGGTAAAGCCTGTGATGGGGAAACGCATTGATTTGGTCTTGACTTTCTCTTAACCTCCACATTCTGCACCCCCGCTTCATCCGGGGAAAACCCGGTTGCCATTGAGAGCCGGAGCCCCGAACGGCCGAACCAGTGGCTGGGATAATAAAAGTTCGCTTCCTGGTGTGAATAAAAGACATTTTTTTTTCCTGCTTTCAGCTGCAGTGCTTTAGTTTTCCATTATAGACTCATTCCTTTGGGTTTTGCCTGCCTCTTGCTTTTAACACGTTAGCGCCTCGCGGAGAAGCTTCGCATTCAGTCATTAACTCCCTAGCTGGGGAATCGCTTTATCCTGCCGCTTACGCACTTGAACTGCACAAAGAACTCTGGATTCTGAAGCGAGGCTTTGGCACTCAGAGTGGGAGAGTGAAGGGCAGAAAAGGGAAGTGGGAGGGCGGGGAGGGATCAGGGGGAAGTGCTGATAAAGACAACTTTTCAACGCTCTTCGATCTTTTTTTTTTTCCTTTCCTTTTTCTGGCGGCAAGGTATGCCTGTCACCGGGGCTTGTGAAATGCTTGTTGAATGAATGAACGACGGACTCGGTGAGCTTAGGGCTGATTCCCCATGGGCTCCTGCGTCCTATAGACAGAGTTCAGGGGCATGGTGTCTGGCCTGCCGAACGTTTGGAGTCCCAGAGCAAGAGAGGAAGTGCCGAATGGGTGGTATGCTTGGTTTGGACTTGCTCATAAACCCCTTCCTCCCCCACCTCCCCTGTCATCCCCCAGCTGCAAGAACCCAGGGAATATGTAAATCCACATGATGGGGTAGGACCTGAACATGCAATGACAATTCCTCCCTCTTCCCTGAGTGGGAATGACAGGCGGGCTTCATCTCATTTGCCTCTCCGGTCAGTGGCCATGCCTTCCAGGAGATCTGTGTTAAGAAGGATTCTGGCTGGCTGCCGAAACCGGTTTGGCTCAATGGATAGAGCGTCGGCTTGGGGACTGACGGGACCAGGGTTCGATTCCAGTCAAGGGCATGTACCTTGGTTGCGGTGTGTAAGAGGCAACTGATCAATGACTCTCTCATCGATGTTTCTGGCTCTCTATCTCTCTCCCTTCCTCTCTGTACAAAATCAAGGATTCTGGCTGAAACCGGTTTGGCTCAGTGGATAGAGCGTTGGCCTGTGGACTGAAAGGTCCCAGGTTCGATTCCGGTCAAGGGCAAGTACCTTGGTTGTGGGCACATCCCCAGTAGGAGGTGTGCAAGAGGCAGCTGATTGATGATTCCCTCTCATCGATGTTTCTAACTCTATCCCTCTCTCTTCCTCTCTGTGAAAAAATCAATAATATATATATATATATATATATATATATATATATATATATATAATTTTTTAAAGAAGGATTCTGAAGCCCAGGGAGGACACTCTCCTGGTCAACGTGTGCTGTGCCCGGGTTCAAGCTCTGGGAAACGGCACCCATGCAGGCGGCTGACTCTGGGGAGGACTGACTGTGCCTTTTCCCCCTCCGTCTTCAGGGACCCCGCGGGAGCCCGGCCTGGGAGCCAGGATGGCCGTCCGCAGCGCCTCGCTGACCTGCCTGGGACTGCTGCTCTTCCTGTTCCCGGGGGCGCAGGCCCAGAACCCAGCCCCGCCCGGCTGCAGCCCGGACCTCAACCCGCTCTACTACAACCTGTGTGACCGCTCCGGCGCCTGGGGCATCGTCCTGGAGGCCGTGGCCGGGGCGGGCGTGGTCACCACCTTCGTCCTCACCATCGTGCTGGTGGCCAGCCTGCCCTTCGTGCAGGACGCCAAGAAGCGCGGCCTGCTGGGCACCCAGGTGTTCTTCCTGCTGGGCACCCTGGGCCTCTTCTGCCTGGTGTTCGCCTGCGTGGTGAAGCCCGACTTCGCCACCTGCGCCGCCCGGCGCTTCCTGTTCGGCGTGCTGTTCGCCATCTGCTTCTCCTGCCTGGTGGCCCACGTGCTGGCCCTCAACTTCCTGGCCCGCAGGAACCGCGGGCCGCGGGGCTGGGCGGTGTTCGCCGTGGCGCTGCTGCTCACGCTGGTGGAGGTGATCATCAACACCGAGTGGCTCATCCTCACGCTGGTTCGGGCGGCGGGCGAGGCCGGCCACCCGGGCAACGGCAGCGCGGGCGGGGCGGCCGCCTCCCCCTGCGACATCGCCAACATGGACTTCGTCATGGCGCTCATCTACGTGATGCTGCTGCTGCTGGCCGCCTTCGCGGGCGCCTGGCCCACCCTGTGCGGCCGCTTCACGCGCTGGCGCAGGCACGCCGCCTTCGTGCTGCTCACGGCCGCCACCTCTGTCGCCATCTGGGTGGTGTGGATCGTCATGTACACCTACGGCAACCGGCAGCGCAACCGGCCCGCCTGGGACGACCCCACGCTGGCCATCGCGCTGGCCGCCAACGCCTGGGCCTTCGTCCTCTTCTACGCCATCCCCGAGGTGTCCCTGGTGACCAAGGCCAGCCCCGAGCAGAGCTACCCGGGCGACCTGTACCCCACCAGGGGCGTGGGCTACGAGACCATCCTGAAGGAGCAGAAGGGCCAGAGCATGTTTGTGGAGAACAAGGCCTTCTCCATGGACGAGCCGGCCTCCGGTAGGTCCCAGGCCCCGCCCGGCCCCTTTCCTTCCGCGTTGCTTACTGCAGGAGGGGGCACCGGTTGGAGCCCGGTCCCTGAGGCTTATCCATGGTGTTCGGCCATCAACTTTCTTAGTTCCATTGTTAAAGAATATAGTTTATTGCTTTTTTACAGAGAGGAAGGGAGAGGGATAGAGAATCAGAAACATCGATGAGAGAGAAACATCTGTCAGCTGCCTCCTGCACACCTCCTACTGGGGATGTGCCCGCAACCAAGGTACATGCCCTTGACCGGAATCGAACCTGGGATTCTTCAGTCCGCAGACCGACACTCTATCCACTGAGCCAAACTGGTTAGGGCTAGATCCATTTCTTGGGGGAAAAAGAATTACTTTTATTACAGTCAATGTAACTCATTGTTTATGATATTATTACACATTTTATTTTCACTGTAAAATCTCAAACATTACAGAGAAACAAAATTTCTCCCTTTTCCCCAGTTCCTTCCTGTTCATCCCCAGAGCTGATGGTGGATTGGTATTTTAGCAGCACGTGCCTCAGTTTCCTCATCTGTAAAATGGGGACGATAGCAGAGCGTGCTCCAGAGGATTCTGATGAGGACTCATTAATGCGCAGGCCTGGCGCTCGGAGGTGCGCTGGGAGCGAGAGCCATCAACTGGACGTGTTACTGTTGTTTTATTCTTATCATAATATCCCTCCGGAACTTGTGTTCCTATTACGTACCTCCCCCTAGCCATCCTGGTTTCCTTTAAAAGTCTTGTTGGTTGATTTTCCCCTTCTTAACAAAAGCACTCACACCCCGTGGGAGTCTAAAGCAGCACCCACTTGTCCCTCGACTGCTCCCCAGGCTCCTGCCCAGGCTCCTTGTTATTTTTTGTTTGTTTGTTTTTTAAATATATTTTATTGAGTTTTTACAGGGAGGAAAGGAGAGGGATAGAGAGTTAGAAACATTGATGAGAGAGAAACATCGATTCAGCTGCCTCCTGCACGCCTCCTACTGGGGATGAGCCCGCAACCAAGCCCTTGACTGGAATTGAACCTGGGACCCTTCGGTCCGAAGGTCAAATTGGTTAGGGCCCAGGCTCTGCTAATGGGACAGGCTCTCCTGGCAGGGCCCAGTCCCAGGGGTGCGGTGCCCGGCGGTGGGAGGGGAGCGAAGCTTTGGAACTCATAGGTCCCTGCCCCGGGAGCAGCTTGGGAAGCAGGAGCGGGAGGGCCGTTGCCAGGGAGACCTGGCCAGAGCCGCTCCCGGCTCCCGCGAGGAGTCCTCTCCGGCGTTTGCACACGGGGAGGGCCCCGGCCTGTATGGAGCACCTGCTGTGTGTCAGGCCTGTGTCTCCACGTGTTCTAGGCATGCACCTCGCGCATGCACTGCCTCAGCCGTGTGCTTGTCGGGGCCTAATGCTCTCAGCCTTTGTCCTCTCAAGGTTTCTTTCCCTTCGTTTATTTATTTTTTCCTCCAAATGGAAAAATCAATCATCGCGTGAGCCCGGCACTTAGCTCTAGGCTGTGGTCCGTCTGAGCTGTGGGCCATCGGCCTGCGGCAGACAGACAGACAGACCGACCTCCGCGGGGCCGGCCTTCAGGCCCAGCCCGTCCTGGGTCCGGCTGGCTGGCCAGCAGGTTCCCTGAGCCACCTGACGGTGAGGCCGGTCGGCCGGGAAGCCAGCTCCTGGCGGGAGGCCGGGGAAGTGTTCCTGCCGCTGAAAATAGTCCTGGAGCCGGGCCCAGGGGCCGAGGGACAGGATGTGCGTGCGGCCCCCCCGGGGGGGGCTCTGGGCTGTGGGTCGTGGGGAGTCGGTTTCCAGCTCCGGAGTCTGGGGCTGCGGGGCCTGTGCCGTATTCACCCTGGAGCCTAGCAGCTGGCCGGCTGCGGCCGAGGCCCCAGCTGGAGGCTGGCCATCTCGGAAGGCGGCCGGAGGCCCATGTGCCCTCGTGGCCTCTGCCCTAGAGGCAGATGGCGATGTGATGACAGGAGCTGTTTTCTGAAGTGGAGGGGGCAGGGGGTCTCCACCGGGCATCCGAACAAAGGGGTGTTGGGTTCTGGAGGAGCCCCCACACCTACAGCCTCACCCCCAAGCTGACCAGCCCTGGCCAGGTGCCCTCCTGGGTTAGAGGTTACCCCGGGGAGCCTGGCTCCTCTCCCCGCCCCCAGAGCCTTGCTTTCAGTTGGGAAAGGGCGCTGGGAGCCCAGCCTTCAAACCTCTCCTATTTCCTTGCAGCCAAGAGACCAGTGTCGCCGTACAGCGGGTACAACGGGCAGCTGCTGACCAGCGTGTATCAACCCACCGAGATGGCCCTGATGCACAAAGGCCCGGTGAGTGGGCCCCCGAGTCCCCTGGCTCTGGGGGCGGGCGGAGGGCCGTGCAGTGCGGGGTGAGGTGCAGATGGGAGGAGGCAGGTGTCTCCACTCCGAGCCTCGGGAGAACTCAGAGCCCCGGCTCCCGGTGCCTTTTCCTGGAGTCAGCGCACCCACCACCTCAATTTCACTGCGATGGGACCTGCCGGCCCGAGGTATCGGGGTGTCACACTGAACTGGGGCTGCGGGCTGTGGGGAACGCTGCGGGGCTCTCTGAGCTGGCGGGAGCCGCCAGCTTCCCCCTCGGAAGCTTCGGGAGGGACCGAGGAGGGCCTGGGCCAGCCGGGGGTCACTCTTGGGAACCCAGTCTGGGTAGGTGTTTACCTCCCACCACAGCTGCCTCCGGAGGGCCCCTCCCCGGCCGGCAGACAGGCAGGCAGGCAGCCGCTCCCAGCCTCACGCCTCCCCTGGGTTCTGGAACAGATGCTCCCTGAGCCCCGGGAGGGGGTGGGAACCGGAAGGCGGCGGGTCAGACTCACTCGCCCCATGCGTGTTCCTGCTCCCGGCTGGCAGGCGCGGCGGGAGAGGTCGGCGACCCGCCTCTGCAGGAGGCTGGGAACCGGAAGGAGGGAGGTCAGCAGGGTGGCGTTCTCACCCCTCCTGCCGGGAGCCTGGGCGAAGCTCGCTCTGAAAGTCCCGGCCGGGCCCCTCGGTCTCCCTGAGCCCGGCCCTGCGGCCCCCGGGGGCCGCCATGGGCAAAGGAGTTACTGAACACGGGCAGAGCCTGCTGGGCCGCAGGGCGCCCACGCTTGCCGCCCTCCCTGCCGAGGGGGCGGGCGCTGGGCTGGCAGGTGATGCTCAGTGTGGCCTGCAGGCCTTCGGCATCACCAGCACCTGGGGTCTTGCTCAAAATGCAAACTGGGTGCAGCTGGTGCTGTGATGAATCCCGTGGTCAGCATCTCCTTGGTGATGTCACCCTGATGCATGATGGGAGTAAGCACCTGTGGAAATCTGCAAATCCTGCTCATCAGGGCTTCCTCCCCCCCCCCCCCCCCCCCCCCCCCCCGTCCCACCAGGTGTGGGTGAGGTTTACACAAACAGCCCAGGTGATTCTGACCCGGGTTTGAGAACGCCCACCGAGATGTCTCAGGAGCTATGGAGGATGGGGAGCTGGAGACCACCAGGTGGGCAGCTCGGGCCCCTGGAGCCGCGGGGGCCTGGAGCGCTCAGGACCCTCTGCTCCCCTCCGCCGTGTCTCACCCACACACGGGCAGGACCGCTGCAGCTCAAACCCGGTTCCAGCAGCTGATTTGGGTCTGAGGTCTCCAACACGTACACTGCCCACACCCAAAAGCAATTGGGATTTGAGCCTCCCGTCAGGCAGGCCAGCCTCTGGGAGGAGAACTCTGTGGGCACAGCCAGGGCCTGGCACACCAGCCGCCATCATGCTGGTGGGGGTTGGAGGGCCAGTTGGTGGGGGGACGCGGGTAAGAGTCTTGGAGGAAGGGAGACTGGGAGCGCCGGACAGGTGACAGCCACCCGGCGGGGGGAGAGACTCCTTCCGCAGGGGCGGCCGAGCGGAGCCCCGGGAGCACCCTGGGGGCCTTCTTCCCAGGCCAGAGGCCGGGCCTTCTGCAGGGTGAGCTCAGGGGCTGGAGGTCAGAGGTCGGCCCCTCCAGCCCGCCGTGGGGGCCTGGGAAAGGGGAGCCGGCAGGCCCCACCTGCAGGAAGCCGCGTGTTTGTGAGACCGCCCGCTCTCCCTTCCAGGCTGAGGGACCCTATGACGTCATCCTGCCCCGGGCCACCGCCAACAGCCAGGCGATGGGCAGTGCCAACTCCACCCTGCGGGCCGAGGATGTGTACGCTGTTCAGAGCCACCAGGCGGCCACGGCCCCGAAGGACGACAAGAACTCTCAGGTCTTTAGGAACCCCTACGTGTGGGACTGATCCGGCGCCAGGAGGCGGCCGGCCGATGCCCTCCCGCTCCCCGTGGCCCTCGACGGTTCTGGGCAGCTGGTGCCTCCGCTGCGAGGCCCTGCCAGGCGGCCAGGGCTCCATGGCGCCCAGGGGCCCCGCCCACTCCTCAGTGTTTGTGGAGTCAGGAGCCGCCCCCGGCTGCATGCCAGGGTCCCCTCCAGGGGTCATGCTCGGCCAAATAGTGTTCTTCTTGGGGGTGGCCGCGCAGCACCTGCGTCCTCCGGAGTCTTTGCAGAGATCCCTGCAGCCTGGAGAGACGTCACAGGTGCTGCCCCGGGCCTTGCTCCTCCGTGAGGGACAAGGTGCCTAATAAACACGTTCTTTCTGCTTTGGTAACGCTTCCTCCGGGAATGCCGTGTCTGGCCCGGCTCCGGGTCCCCATGAACCGCTGCCCCTGGGCCCATCTCCTGCTCACTGACAGCTGCCACGGTCTGTAGCGGACACCTCCCCGCAGGGAAGGATCCGTCCGCTGAGCCTGGGTCCCTGCCTCGGGAGTCCTCAGTGAGCTGGGCCGGCTCCTGTCTGGGGGGTAGTCCATCCTTTGAGCTTGCCTGGAATCAGACGGCTCTCCTCCGGGCCCCCCTCCATTGGCCGTACGTGGGGGCCCAGCAGGGAGGTGGGCCCACCGGCAGGCCCCCAGCAGAGGGTGCTTGTGAGGGAGGCGCGTGCCCGGGGAGACGGGCTCCCTAAGCCGCCCAGTGGGGACGGGGTCCAGATCCTTTAGGGCCCAGGTGGGGCCTCACTCCGCTCGGCGCTCTTAGGCCCCTTGGCCGGGTGGGTCCACAGAGGCGGAGAGGGTGGGGCTGCGGTCTGGTTGGCCTCACTCCTGGGCAGGAATTGTTCAGGCCTCGGCGGTAAAGCCCCCCGTGGCTGCCCCCGAAGGTGGGCAGGCCATTCTCCTTTCCAGAGTCCAGATCCCAGAACTGTTACCTTTCTTTTTTCTTTTCTAAAAATATATTTTATTGATTTTTACAGAGAGGAAGAGAGAGGGATAGAGAGAAACATCGATGAGAGAGAATCATCGATCAGCTGCCTCTTGCACACCCCCTACTGGGGATGTGCCCGCAACCAAGGTACATGCCCTTGACCGGAATCGAACCTGGGATCTTTCAGTCTGAAGGCTCATGCTCTATCCATTGAGCCAAACCAGTTTCGGCCACTGTTACCTTTTTAGGTTCAACGGGGCCGTAGGAGAAAGTTGGGGGTTAGCTGTCCTGCCCCCTACTGACCCAGAGAGCCTGCACAGCCTCTCCCCCACCCCCCACGGCCTCCCCAGGACCAGGCAGGTTGTCTCCGGACCTGGCGTCCAGCGACCCTGGGACAGCCGCGGCCAGAGGCCGGGCGCAGACAAGCAGCAGCGTCCTGACCCTTGGACGCGGGTCACGGGCCTGCCAAGCCCGCCTCCCAGGCCTGGGAATGTCCCTCCCCGGTGAGCCAGAAGCTATTTTCTGACACCGGTTGTAGGAAAAAATGTCCTGCTGAGAGGGAAGGAGGGAGGGAGGGAGGGAGGGAGGGAGGGAGGGAGGGAGGGAGGGAGGGAGGGAGGGAAAGGTGGCCGGAAGAGAGGAACGGACCTTGGGCCGAGCCTCCCCTGGGTCAGCCTGCACCAGCCCGCCCCCTGGGAACACCCAACGCTTTTTTAAGTAAAAACCAGCACTCGGGCCCTGAGCAGTGGGGCCCCTTTGACTTGTTCTTTCTGGTTACTTTAGGCTCAGTCCCCGCAAAGTAAAACGAGATGGTAGCCACCCCGTGGCCTGGACTGCACGCCGTCCCATGTTCTCAGGCCTCTGTCCCGGCTGGCAGGGCCCTGCACCTTCCCCACCCTTGTCCCCAGAGCTGGGAGGGCCCGGAGGCCTCCGATCGGGAGCAGTGGACCAAGTGTGTGTGTGTGTGGGAGGGGGGGGACGGAGGGGGGACGGAGGCCCTGTGAAACCCGAGGCTTAGGGTTGGAGCTCAAGGGCCACCCCTACCTGCCCTGCCAGCCTCTCCTGGCCCCCAAGTGACGGAGGCCACAGGAGCTGCCTGCAGACCAGCCTGCCTCCGTCCCCCTGGCGACACCCTCCCCCACAGCACAGCCCGTGTCCTCAGGCGGTGGCTGCAGGCCACCCTCACGTGCCCTGGCTGCACACGGTGGCCTACCTGGCCGTGTCGCTGGTGTCCAGCATGTCCCTCTCCACCCGGCGGGAGCTGCCCCTGGCCTTTCTCACGGGGCCGTCACCGAGGGACCATGGAAGGCCGCCAGCGGGGAAGGCAGGGCTCGTCGGAGGCCCGGACAGCTGCGCCTCCGTGGCCTGAGGGCCCTGGACCTGAGCCGCGGCGGACGGTGCTTCACTCCGAGCCCCTCTGCACCCTCCTCCCTCACCTTCGATGGACCGGGCGCCATGGAGACACAGGCGGGGCTGGGGCTGTGTTCTCGGGGACCAGCTGACAGTCTTGGGCCACGCGGACGGGGGTCTAGGCCTCTTCCAGGACAGACCTGCGGGACGCAGAGGCCCCTCAGATAAGCGGCATCTGGGGCTGGACACTGCCGCTTCCTGATGGGCAGGGGAAAGGTGCCTACCTCACCCCGGGCACCTCCGTGTGCCGGTGCTGGGCTCCTCGCCCAGGATGCCAGAGGGTCCCGACGCCACCCGGGGAGTGGGGACCTTCGCGGGGCCTGCGTGAGGCTGGCACCAAGGACGAGGTGCACGGTCCAGGTCTGTGGGGGCCTCGGCAGCACCGTCTCCCTGGCCCTGTCCTGCTCCCTGGTACCAGCAGCAGGCTGGTCCAAGAGGGGGCTCCCCAGTGTGCCCCCCCAGGTGTGCCCCACGTGCAGGTCTCACCCCAGCATCACCTCTGGGGCTGTGTGGGGGAGGATCAGAGCAGTCAGGCCCGCAGCTCCAGTGCCGCCCCCTGCTGCCTGCACCTGTGCCTTGTCCCGGAGTCTCTCCAGAGAGGCATGGGGGGAGCGGGCCCAGTAGATGAGAGGAGAGCTGTCCCCAAGTGTGATGACACCCCCCACCCCCACCACAATTAGCCATTAACCATCCGTTGTACCGAGCTGTCCCTTCCAAGAATGGAGCATAGTCTCCCTCTGAGGGAAGGGGGGGAGGGGGGGAGCCCGGTACCTCAGGCGGCTCCCGATCTAGGTTAGTGGCCCCAGGATCCCTGACGGCGAACAAAGGGACGGTCCTGCTTTTCAAGGTGATGGTATCTCGTGAGCCCTCAGACGTGCCAGGCGGCCAGGGGCGGCAGCCGCAGTGAATTCGGGTTTGTTCCTGGTCCGCGTCCCCGGAGGCCTGGGGGAGGTGCCGGGAGGGGTGCAGCCTGCCCGGGCTCCGGCACGCCCCCGGCCAGCGGAGAAGATGGGGCAGCGGGCCAGCGGCATCGCACACGAGCCGGGCGGGAAGGACGCGGCACAGGCCCCGCCCGCCACGGTGGCACCGGGAGACCACAGCCACTGCCCAAGTCCAGCTCCACGCGAGTCCTGTGGGCCTCGTGCCTGCTTGGAATTAAAGACCTTATTCCTCTCGCTGTGTGAGGCATTGTTCCAGCAATCCCCATGTGTTCATTAAGAACTGTGCTGGGCTTTCTGAACTATATATACTTTTATTTATTTATTTATTTATTTTTAACTAACATGGGTCTTTAATTAAAAATATGTTTTATTGATTTTTTTTATAGAGAGGAAGAGAGGGACAGAGAGCTAGAAACATCGATGAGAGAGAATCATCGATCAGCTGCCTCCTGCACCCCCACCCCCACCCACTGGGGATGTGCCCGCAACCAAGATACATGTCCTTGACCGGAATCGAACCCGGGACCCTTCAGTCTGCAGGCCACCGCTCTATCCACTGAGCCAAACCGGCTTCGGCTGAACAATATATATTTTTAACTTTCTGCTTGCCTCCTAGACCAAGAAAGGATGTTTGATTCCAAGCAACTTGGTTGGGAATTTATTCTAAGCGGGAAACCAGGTCTCCCAAACCGGCCTGGCCCCAGATCGGGGTCCCCTCACCCACACAAGGCCTGGGGATGTAGGGTCGGGGCATAAGGGGGGGGCGAGACTTTATCTTAGTCCTGCTTCGGCTTGGGGTGCTGGGGATGGGGTGAGGCACTGCTCGGTGAAACACTGGCTCCCGGGAAGGCATCCTGGGGTCGGGCTATCTCCCCTGGGCCAGGAGGGCCTGCCGAGTGCCGCTCCTGGGATCTGGCCAGACATGGGGCTCCCACTCTCATTCAGGGACCTTCCAGCCAGTAGGAGAGCCCGCAGCTGATGGGTTAAGTGCCTGGCCTGTGGTCACGCCGCTAGTAAGGGTCCATCAGCCCCCAGCCCCCTCTCCCCAAGCCGATCACTTAGTCCAGCCCCAGGGACGGGATGTGCCGGGTCCCCCGAGTGCCGTGGCCAGCAGGTTTCCTGTCTGCTGTCTGCACCGGGCCCGCCGGAAACTGCAGCGCTGGCTCCCAGCAGCCCATGAATTATTGAGCATCTGTGCCGCCGGTAATGGTCTGACCTCATCCTCCTTGGGCTCCGGCGCCTCTGACCTCTGTTTCCTTGAGAGGAGGCTGCAGGGCCATGGGGCTGAAGGTCCCACTGCGGGGTGCGGGGTGCGGGGTGCGGGTGATGGAGGAGGGGACAGCAGCACTCCCAGGAGAGATGGGGGCCGGGACCCGCTGTCTTTGTGACGCCAGGCAGCTCTGCAGAGGTCAGCTGGCTGCTGCCCTGTGGCCCTCGTCCTCGCTCAGGCTCTGTGGACCCTCCGTATCCGCACCTGCGCAATGGAAGTGCTGCACCCTGAGGTCATAGTGCTCTGGCCCCTCAAGGTCACTCCCAAAAGTCAGGGCCACGGCAGGGCATCGGAGCTGGCTGCCCTGGGTTTCCTGCCAGACCGGTTGCTGCCATCTTCCCTGTCCTCTGCGGCCCCTCACACGCCAGTTCCTGAGCTGGTGGGATGTGGGATGGAGGGGAGGCAGGGGGCAGGCTCCCGTGAGACCTGGCTCTTGCTCGCCCTGACCTGGGGCAGCTCCCCTCGCCCCCTCCTCTGCTTCCTCACCGTGAGATGGACCTGAGCTGCCAGCTCTGCCTCAGCCCCGGTGCTGGGGTCCCCAGCAGTTGGGAGGGGCCCCAAAAGGCAGGTGTGGACTGAGCTGGGCGGAGCAGGCCACCACCTGGCTGTGCCTAGGACAGAGGCGCTGGGTCCCCTTAGGCAAGGGGGGGCACCCCTCACTTCCCAGGTCTCTCCAAGGGAACAGAAGCCCTAACTATGGGCTGGACGGCCCAGGGTGGACCCACAGGTGCATCAGCTGCTCCTCCCTCCGAGGGAGCCAGAGGGCAGTGCGCTCCCGCCTACGGCAGGTTTTACGGTTTCTTAGCCGAGTGAGCAGTCCAGCGGCCCTGCCAGGGCGACAGGAAGATGCAAGCACCCAAACCTCTTCGGCTGCACCGCGGGCCCCACACTGTAACCGGGGGCGGTGGCAGGTGGGGGTGGGGACCCGGCCTCGGGCACTCCGACGTCACCTCCAGCGAGGGCCCGCCCCTGCCCCTGGCCAACCCGAGGCCGCCTCCGCTCCCCACCAGGCCCCGCCCGGCACCCCTGCAACCTGATCCCGGGCAGCAGCACTGGGCCGGCTGGCTGGGGCCGGCTGGCTCCACTCCATCGCCAGCTGGGGGCTGCCCCAAAGCTCTCCTCCCCGGGGGGGCCCCCACCCCACCCCGCCTGGAGAAGGGGGGTCGCGGTGCCCCTCCCCACCCCCATGACCCACTCCTCCCCTCAGCCTCCCCTCCAGGACTGCAGTCTGGGAGCCCCGGCCAGCGACCCTACAACCTTAGTCCAGTGTCTCTGGGCCCAGGACATAGCAGGTCCCAGGTCCCAGAGAGGAGCTCACCACGTTCCACGGGTGGGTGCCACGAGCCCGGTGCCCAGGCTCAGGGTCTGGGGGTTCTGAGCCTGGCCCTGGTGACCATGGGGCCTGGCCGTTCTTTGTGGAGGGGGAGGGGCCTGGCCTGGGCACTGTAAGGTGCTGAGCAGGGTCCTAGATGCTAAAACTGTCCGGGGTGCCAACACCCTTCCCCCCACCCCCCAGGGTGAACTCTCCTGGGTGAGAACCACGCCCCTGGGTGTCAGTGGGTACTGGTCCCCCAGTGTGTGGGGGGGTATTCCTGGGCCCCTCCTCACACCTGAGGGGGCGTGACCCTTCCCTGCCGACATCTGGGCCGTGTGTGACCAGCAGCGCCCCTTACTGGACTCACTCCTTCCAGCTCCTGCCTGCTGAGGTGCTGCGCGGGCCTGGGACAGTGCAGGGGACCTGGTGTGACTAGGAGTCCGAGTGGGGCACCAGGAGCCCCACATGGTGTGCCCCTCAGGTAGCCTTGGGGTCCAGGAGAGGAGCTGGGGGAGGGGGGAGGTGGGCTCAGGGTCAGGGGAACATCCTGGTCAACAGGGGCTCACCTGTGGACCCCAGTCCTTGGAGCTGTCCAGACACGGAGCGTGCACACACACACACACACACACACACACACGCACAAATGAACCGAGCCTGGTGGGTGTGGCTTAGCACTTGAGCGTCAACCCATGAACCAAGAGGTTGCTGGGCTTCAGGCTCCTCCCCAGTAGGGAGCACGCAGGAGGCAGCTGATGTGGGGGTGCTCACCAAAGCCATGAAGGGCACAGAGAGGGTGGGGGTGGGTACCCCTCCCTCGACTCTCACCCACATGCAAAGTAGAATTTCCAAACAGGTTCACACTCCCATCCAATATAATAAA